GAATTAACTACGATGAAAGTAAGACATGCAGCAGGAGTTGCGCCGGAGTCAAGACAATGATCACGTTGGGAGTTTGAGAGTTCGACGGAAGTTCGGACAGTCGTCGGAGGTTCTGCGGGAACAAATCCGAGAAGTCCATAAGCTTGCCAAAGAAGCTCGTCGGAACTCGCCAAGTGAATCGTCGCAAGTCCAGGAGTTTGCCGGAAGTCCGCAAGAGCATCACCGAGGGTTCATTGGATGATCAACGGAAGTTCGCCGGAAGCTCGCCGGAAGAAGCGATTGATGCACCGGAGCAAGTTGCAGTAAATGTCTTAGGGAATATCGTAGTTAGCACAATGATTAAGTTGGAAATGGGAGGTGATCCCATTAACTTAATCTTAGGGCAATTAGGCCCCTGAAAAACCCAAATTGGGCCGAATGGATCAACCCATTCGGACCCTGATTTCTGCCAAGCGGTTGAACCGCCCAAGGCAGGAGGTTGCACCGCCTGGGCTCAGTCTCTGAGCGAGACTGGGAGGTGCAACCGCTCCAGCTAGGCGGTGGCACCGCTTGGGCTCAGTCTCCGAGCGAGACTGGGCGGTGCAACCTCCCTTGACAGGAGGTGGCACCGCTTGAGCTCGGTCTTCGAGCTCTGCCAGGCGGTGCAACCGCCTCAGTCAGGAGGTGCAACCGCTTGAGCTCGGTCTTCGAGCTCTGGCAGGAGGTGCAACCGCCCCTGACAGGAGGTAGCACCGCCCAGAGGCTCAGTCTTCGAGCTCTGCCAGGCGGTGCAACCGCTCCAGTCAGGAGGTGCAACCGCTTGATCCCGGAATTCCGAGAATTGAAAGTTTTGAGCTCCAAATTTGAACTGGGTTTTGGCCTATAAATACCCCACCCATTCAGCACTGAAATAGCACGAACTTACACTGAAATCTTGATCTTTTTCTGTGATTCTTATAGCTCAAAATTGTTGTAAAGGCCAAAAGTTCTTCTCCCTCTTTTCTTCTAAGTTCTGAGTTGTAAAGAGAGGAGAGAAAATTCTGTAAGGGTTGTCTCCTAAGCCCGTCAAAAGGAGTGAAACTGTAAAAAGGTGGTTGGCCTTCGCCTATTGAAGGAAGACCTCTAGTTGACGTCGGTGACCTCGTTAGTGGAGGAAGTCAAAAGTGGAGTAGGTCAAGATTAACCAAACCACTCTAAATCTCGATTTGCATTTACTTTGAGCATCTTATCTTTACTGCAAACCTCCTCAATAGCTTACTGCCTTCTGTGTTTTTACAAACGTGTTTCAAAGTTCAGTGCTTTCCGAATCGGGGTTTAAGACGCAAATCAGTTTTATCGTACGAATGTCGTATTTCAGTTTGCACTTACGTTCTGATTTCCATTATAACTGCAAACTGCCTTTATATCTTTGCTTTAACTGCATCTCGCCTTATCTTAAGTTAAAGTAGCTTACGAATCAGCTTTTCTACCGAAATCGCTTTTATCGTACGAACGTCATATTTCAGTTTGCGCTTATATTCTGATTTCCATCATAACTGCAAACTGCGTTCATATCTTTGCTGCATCTCTCCTAGTTAAAAGTTGAAGTGATTTACGAATCGGCTTTCTTACCAAAATCACTTCTATCGAACGAACGCAGTTTTCGATTTTAATCTTAGAAGGTTTTCCGCTGCACTAATTCACCCCTCCCCTCTTAGTGCTCTTGATCCTAATAGTTCATTCACTCTATTACCTTCAAATGAAAGGTATTTAAACAAATGAAGTTCAAACTTCATAAAGCACTTCATTAACCACATTGTATATGCATCCAGCGGCCACTTTATTATTTTTTTATTTTATTTTTTAGTTGTTTCAATTTTGATATTTGAAAATTTTAAGTTTTGTGAGGGATTGTTGGATTTAATTTTAAAATAATTTTTTTAAATATTATTTATGAAAGGATATGTCCCTTGGACATGTACTATTTCATGATAGTCTGTTTTTCGTTATTTGATTTTTGCTGCTTAGTTTCATGAAAGAATCTTCTCAAGTGACTCCACGATCATGCTTGCAGGATAAATAATACTAGTTGAATCGTGAGGTGAAAATAGAGATAAGACTTCATCTTAAAACAACATGTATGTGCGTTAACGTTCTTTCCACGCTTTTTTTCTTATATTTTTATTAATTTCTTAATCATAATACCCTACATTTTACCCCAACAAATATTTGGTCGGAGCAGGTAACCATGTTAGAGAAAAGATAGATAGATATATCATTGAGATGCACATAGACACGTGAGAGACTTCCAAGCTGCAAGTTTCTTGTGTTTACACATTACAGATAATGTAAGGATTAATTACAACACGATGATTCTGTTCTCAAGCATCATTCAATGCATGTTAGTGTTCATTCCCATTCCGAACTCCCAACCATGACCTATCTGGTTTTGTTCATAATGCTCCTCATCTTTGTCAAGAACAGGCTGGTGGTGGGTCTTCCTACTTCCTTCACATTTATCGGTGTCTTTAAATCCACAAACTTGCTTTTCAATACAAGTGGGCAGTCACAAGGCGATTAGCCAAGCAACCACACCCTAACTCATCTATTGATTTTAGTATTAGAAGCCTATTTGGCTGTGTCATTACACTGCACAATATTTTCACTCGTTCTCACAAGAGTTCATCTATCTTTTGGATCTACAATATGGTTATTGATTTCTTGAAATGGACAATATTCATTATCCTACAAAGACTTCACAGTTAGACAGTAGAAAATGACAAAAAATAGCTCCATCAAATCTGCCACATCAGCATAAATTAAAACAGAAAATATTCTCTGAATAAAAATAATTTAAAATTTATTTTTTTAACCTTAGAAGCTAGAAACACCATGTCAAAGAAATCCTTTGGCAACAACTTAGGTTCTTCTCTCTCCTTTCTCTATTATTCCCTATAGAAATTCGATTGTTGATCTAAGCATCAGAGGATTAAGTTGGGAACATACATAATGATAGTCTTCTCTTGCAGGAATAACTCAACTCAAGGCTTTCGAAATCAGCCATCCCTCCTCGAGGCACCAATGACATTGAGGAACATTTCGTTCGAAGTATGAGTGCCACTGTTTTCTAGATGCAAGCATTACATGTTTCTGTCTCATGATCACTCAAGAGAAACACAAAATTGCAGAGGCTATTGCTCTCTAACTACCCCTTCCATTATGAGATTACAGAACCAACTCAAAAGTTTCCTTATGCTACCTTACTGCTGCGTAAAATCACTTCCATTAGTTGTTAAGTAGCAGTCACACTAGAGCACATCACCTACTGCCATCGTCTTGGAGGCCTGGCCGGTGATGACATTGTAACCTGGCTTGTGCTTTTTCGTGAGCGTGGCATTGTAAGAGAAGCTTGAGAAAACATCAAATAGAAGAACATAATTAGTAAATGAAGATGTTAGAATTCCTTCGCAAAATCAACATATTGTCTTTTCTTGTTCAAACTAGCATGAACTATGACTTCCTAATGATATATTTAAATCAGATGCTGCAGATGACAGTGAAGTTGAATTCCAGAGGAACCATTTTATTATCCTTGATATGTAGCTGATTCTGAAGATATATAGATTTAACAGTCAAGAGATACAGAGATAGTTCAATCACAAATTTGAGAAGAGGAATGTTGGACACTGAATTGCTATGTTTGAAATTAAAGCTTACTTGGAGGCCTCAATGCATTATTTGTTTTTGGCAAGAATGCTGTGCTATGCGCAGTCTTCTTCGGAGGTGGTTTAGGTATCGATGCTGGAATTTTAGGCCTACATTTATTATATTGAAGAGGTAATCATATATCTATAATTATGACAAATGAAGAACCTGGAGCTCATTGTAGGCTGTTAATGCATGAATACAGAAATTACTTACATCTTCACTTTTGGGGCTTCAGATGATTTCTTCTGTTCAGGAAAGAGGCTGAACTCAACAACACTGCCCAGTGAGCCATCTGTTTCTGTCCCCATGGAAAGTACGCCATCAGATATATCACTCAGATGCTCCTCTGCATCTTCATCACCAAAGCCCAAAAGCTCAATATCTGCAGAAGCCTGAGCTGAGATCCCTCCTGTGTGCTTCAGCTGCATAAAGGTGTCCTGGTTTTTGTTATCATCTACTGACTTCTGTGAACCATATTCAAAATGATCTCCAATCTCTGAGCAGTTCTCAGATTTTCTGGCTGCTTCGTTATTGTTGTTCAGCAGCTTTCCAGTCGATGTCCTCTGTTTATGTTGCATGGTCCCAGCTAAGGTTGAAGTGCGAGCAGGAGAGAAGGAATTGTATCTCAAGAAATTGTTGCTATTCCTTTCGTTCTTTATACTGGGAGACCTTGATATGAAAGCTTTTAGTTTCAGTTGTTCAATCTCCTCATCTTTCTTTGCAATTGTATCTTTAAGTGATGTCACCTGAAATGGCAAATATAATAAACAGATCACATGCAGAACTTAATCTTAGGACATAAGACTTGAACTATGATACTGAATTGCAAAGGGCATCTTGGTATTCATGATTGTTGGCCATTTAGTTCTATATTATGTCAGTTTTACTCATGACTTCAACAAGTTCTTGTATTAGCTACTTCCTCTGCATGGGGAAGAAACATTGGAAAAGAACACAGGAGACGATCTATGCAAAAATTTATAATATGGCAAAGTACTGAACTCAAATAATTACTTCCCAGAAGCTACCTCAAAATTCAAGTTGATAATGCTCATAGAACTCCTAGAAACATTGCATTCTCAAGATTATGCAAGAAAGCCAGTTTTAATTGACAGTATGCCTGAACAAATGAATATGTAAACTCTAAATATACATCCATATAGTGGGTTAAATCCCGTAGTTTCATCAAAAAAGGAAACTTAAGAAACAACATGGAACAGCTGGAGGCTAATTAAAGATTACCCCCCTATAGTTAGACTCTTTTGCATTTCGATATCTAAACTTAAAAAATTTATATTAGAATCCCTATAATTATGAAAGTGAAATATTTAACTTCATTTACTCTAACAACGTTAGTTTTACTAACGGAAGATACAACACATACAAAAATAACACAAAATGATGGGCAAAAAGATAATTTTAACGTCTCAGTTATGTTTTCGGTGGTGGCGGACGATAGTGCCGCTGGGGCCTGCGTGTGGCTGTTGCGAATGAGGAGGGATAGCGGTGGTGAGAGGTGAGGCAACGGGAGAGGAGAAAGAGGACGATGTAGATATCAATGCTTTGCATCTGCATTGACGCTGCTCAGCAACTACGTCGGCGCCAATGCCGATGCAAAGTGGCAAAAGGGCTGCTCGGCATCTGCGTCGGCGCCGATGCAGATGTAGAGCACCGCTCGACATTTGCATCAACGCTGACGTAGATGCAGATGCAGATGCAAAGCAGCGCCACTTTGCATTTGCGTCGGTGCCGACAACGATGCGGGGAAGGGCAGTGGTACTCTACATCTGCATCGATGCCGACAATGATTCAGAGAAGAGCAGTGCTCATCCTTCACCCCTTCTCCGATCCCTCATTCTTCTTCCCTCTTTCGTTGCTCAATATATGCAAGGGGGAAAGAACGATGAGCGATGCTCGGCATCTCCGCATCGTTCTGCATCGCTCATCCTTCTTTCTCCCTTGTGTATGCCGAGAGGCAAAAGGGGAAAGAAGGATGAGGAATAGGGGAAGGGGGCAAGAAGGATGAGCACCGCCCTTTCTCGCATCGTTGTCGACACTGATGCAGTTACAGAGTAATGCTATTCTACATTTGCATTGGCACCGATGTAGATGTCGAGTGGCCCTTTCGTTGCTTTGTATCTGCATTGGCATAAACGCAGTTGCCGAACGATATCGACATAGATGCAAAGCATTGACATCTGCATTGTCCTCTTCCTCCTCTCCCTTTGCCTTACCTTTCGCCGTCGCTCTCCTTCCTCATGCTCCTCTCCTGGCAAGAAGACGTAGAAGTCCTAGCATTCTCACCGACCACAAGCACCCACAACCCTCAACGGTGCTGTCATCCGTCACCACCAAAAACATAAATAGAGTTAAATGTTTTACTTTTATAAGTATAGGGATTTCAATATAAATTTTTTAAGTCTAGGGACTTGGATGCTAAGGAGGTTTAACTACAAGAGTAATTTGTAATTAGCTCAATAACGGATGATGCAAAAGTGTGTATTATATGTCATCACAAGGAAGATTCATCATTATATATCTTAAATTAATTGTAACTCATCCTGGTCCATGTTAGTCATTCACTATTACAATAGATTAATTTAGCTAAGCTAGAGTATGCTGCTTATGAATTTTAGCCATTTTATTGAGAGGATATTATGGTGCCTAATGTTCAATTCCTTTAGTATTTCTTTAGATTTCATCATAGTGATTGAGGAGAACAGACAATCTCATTTTAGTTGATGAAGTCTCATGCCTCATTATAATGATTTGCAGGGAGGAAAATTGAAATGGCACCAGCCAAGAAAAGAACCTGCTCCATCAAATCTCTGACGTCTTTGCCCTCTTTTTGGCTCCTTGCTGCACCTAGCTCCACCCCAGATACCCTTTCAGCAAACTTCAAGGTGCTTAAGGTCTCTGAATAAGATCCTACATCTGGATTTATATGTACAAACATCAGTGTCTTAGCATGTCCACCTGCATCAAAAAATATTAAGTGTGTAAATTAGCTATACCATGACAAACTCACAAAACAAGATGCCACAAACTAAAGCAGAAGATAGGAAAACCACCTAAAGAACTTTGTAGTACTTGAGTAAGCTTGCTATTTCTGTATGGTACGTGGGTATTCTTCTGTGATAGAGCAAAGATGACATCTCCAAGAGCAGATAAAGACTTATTGATATGTTGTGCTTCCTTGAGCCTTTCTCCAATAACCTCGGAACGTTCGATTCTCTCACTTCCAGCAAGATCCACCAGATGAAGTGAACCACGCAAGGTAGCTCCAGTTTTCAGATCCATTCCTTGAACATGAACAGTAAGAATACTGTACAAGGAACAACTACTTAATTATGGAGAAAGCATTAAATCATTTGAAGGTATATGTCCACACATAGATGATCAGTGACTAAAACCTGTGTGACCGGCTGCTTCTTTCATTCAAGGAAGTGGCACTAACAGCCCTGTTGGTCTGTCCTATCCCCATCAGTTCCAGCACATCCAAAGTCGATTGAACAGTATGCATGCTAGCATCAGGGACAGCAAGTCCATTGGGCAGGGAAGTGGTCATGATTCCAAGTGTGTGAAAGCTAAGGAAAACAATCTGACAAAGAACTTAGGAAATTTAATTTAAAAGAATTATTGTGAGAAAAGGATTAAGTCGAACTATTCAGAATAAAATAACAGGAAACATGTCTAATAAAACCCAAACGACAATGCATTAAATTGAGGTATCATATGCAGACAAAATTCCAATGAGCTTTCTCCAATTAAAGGATATCTTTTTTGTGTGCTATCATTTGCAAGTAAATCACGCACTTGCTCGTTGTATACTTCGACCATCTGAACACCCACTTCATATATAAATGTCTCTATTCTAGTCTGAGAAATTTGAAAAAGGTCATTCAGAGCTCGATAGTTGACACCCCAATCTGTTTCAGATGATGAATCAGGCCCTGTCTGGAAGAAGAATTTTGTTTCCAGAGTAGGATCATCTATTAGTGAAGACGAAATTTCATTCTTTAGAAACATCTTCATTAGAGCTGAAGATGAGAAAAGGATAATTGGATTTTGCCTACCATTGTGTAGGTTTTTCCTGATCCAGTCTGACCATAAGCAAAGATGCATACGTTGTAACCATCAAGGATAGATTGTATTAAAGGCCGAGTGTCCAAGAACACCTCCTCTACATGTATGAAAAAAAAAAATCTTAGACATAGATTGCAATACCAATCTGAACCTACATAACAATAATAAAATATGTTGTCCTAGTGAAACTACAAAAGTCACAGGTAATACTTGGTACAATCGAAGAAAAGACATGCTATAAATAACATGAACATAAAGCACAAGGTAAAAAGTTTTGCAGCTATATGGTCAAAACCTTGAGTAGCAGTAGGACCAAAAACCTTGTTAAAATTGAATACCCTTTGTCCATCTTTTCCCTGTTTAGTGGGATTTGCCAGAATTAGCTCACCATTCTCACCAATATAATATATGGTGCTTTGTTTTTTATTTTCCCCAGAAAGATATGGCCTTATCCGACAATATACTCTAATATTTCCTGTCAATAATGTATAAGCAGTCTGAATTAAGTGTTAACAGAAAGATGAACATTAGAACTTCTAAGTAGCACTTCCATGTTTAATGGACACCTTTTAGTTCCTGGACCTCATTGTATAACCTCCGGTTTTCTTCAAGGACTGAATGATAATTTCCTGCTGCATCCGTTAATACTTTCAGCTTTTGGCCTGTATGCAATACAGAAAGATGAATGAAAAAACTATGTTAAGATGTTAAGGCTAAAATCTGAATTAGCAAATTCTTACCAAAATTAGTAAATTCTTCAAACCATCTCTTCTCTCTATCCACTATTTGAAGCTTGATGGAATCAAAGGATAATCTCAAACCCTGGCACAGTTAATGGTTACTTTTTAAGTGGCATGTGAAAGAAAGCTAAAATTAAGCATGAATTACCTGCACTGACCGCAGATATGAATTTATGAAACATTGGAAATTGTTTTCTTTCTTGTTCCAATTCTGACATTTAGATTCTGATATTGCCTCTATCTCTTCTCTTCTGTTTCTTGATTCTTCTAAAAGGGATTCAGCCTCCTTTATTTTTTCTTCTAACTCCATCTGAGCAATTCTCTCCTTCTTTTCCAGTTGGTGAAACTGTTCATTGTATGACATCTTCATGGCTTCTAGATTCTGATTCAGTTCTGAAATTATCTTATCACTATTTTCCTTCTCCTTCCTCAGTTTAGCCACATCTTCTTCAGCATGTTTCTTCTTCTCTTCAATTATGGATTTTTCTGTCTGCAAGAAAAACAACAAAGATACATAGTAAGAATTTTTTTTTTCTGTCTCGATCCTGTGGAGATCTTCATCTGGCCCAATTAATCCATTAGCATCCTTCAACTTAAGCATGGGATCTCTCATTTCTACTGATTTTGGCTATGTACAGACCACACTAAGTAATTCTACTTCTGGTTTTAGTTTATTGATGTTAAATAGTATTGTTCTATGTACTGAGCACATATTTTATCCCGTTAATTTGTAGAACCTGAAAGCAAACAACTAATAATTTAGTAATCATAGACAGCTGGACTTGTAATACAAAAATTGCTAAAAATATCATAGAAAATATGCAAATACAGATTTTGAGAAACCTGAGGATAGTTTAGACCATCAAAACTTCTAACTATGCAATATGAATAGTATCAATTGCTGATCTGCCTTTAGCACTACAGTTAGCTTATCATCAGGGAGTAGCGGCTCTGGAAGTTCATCCAACAAGAAACAATGATTTCTTCTTACTTCTATCATATACAGACCAATTTGGATCAGAATTCTAGTTCTTGGACAGTGAGCTGAGTTTCAGCTACTTCAACACTTGAAGTGCTGATACAACAGTAATTTCTAGAACAAACCCTACCTCAAAGTCAAAAATAAAAATAACCTGTTCTTAAAAAACTCATGTGTTCCAAAGCAACAATTCAATCACCTTAAAAATTGTGAGATTTTCTATCCATATACTCTTAAATGTGCTGTCAACCACATGTCTTTTTTCTGACAATCTGAAGTCTAAGTCCAACATCCTGCCATATTTATTGAACACAATGAAATTTAGGCAATACTTAACATTAAAGTTACAGTGAAGAGTGCTATTTTAGAAAGGATGTCTCTAGGGAGCTCACAAGCATACTGCCTACTAGCGGATAAGTTCATGACATTCTCCCATAATAGTAGACACTTCTTTAAAAAAAAGCACTAGCAACAGAAATTCATCTAAATTTACAAAAAACCTAAAGGTGGTAGCTGTTAAACATTTTGTTAGATTATTGTAGGGTTCAAAACCTGTCTTCATCACTTACCATTTGTGATAATAATAATATTATTAATAATGATTAATATTTATGGTAAATTTTAATCTCAAAAATTTTTTCTCCTTTCTACAAAAGGCTTGCCAGAATTATCATTGCTGCTACTAAAGTATGCTATACAAGTCTTTGTTGATTTTCCCTCAATATTTAGATGAATTCAGGAGCAAGGTGTGAGTGACTAACTGTATAATAGGAACATGATGCTTTCTTGTCCAAGAGTCTTAAGACACCAGAATATGCAACATATCCTCCATGTAAGGAAGTATTTTTTTGGGAAGAATTTCTCCACAAATCAAATTGAAAGGGTATCTAGGTGTACCTCAAGATATCATGACTTCTCATCAGGAAATAAACAGCAGTATGTTGGTTATACATCTGTTATACGGGTTGAAAAGGTTGCACAATATATGAAAACAGGCCTAAATTAGAATTTATAAGAGATCAAATATTTATTGTAACTGTGGTTTTCCAAAGTTGGACAATTTATATCTGCATTTGCGCATGTTATGCATCAGCTACATGGATACATGGACAGCGGAGGGTGTCTTAAAGTTAAAGTCAAATATAACTAAAAAATAGATAGGATATCAAGAAAATCATTTTTTTCAATAACTAAATTTGAAAATACAAGCTTTGAGATTAAGAGACAGAAAGCATCAAGTATAGAATTTACGAACAAATTAGGGATGGAGAGAGACTGACCTTTAGATGCTGAAGTTGGTTCATAACCATCTGAATCATGAAAATTAATCATTATCTAGCACCAAAAAGATGGCTGCATTGTAATGAAAATACCTGTGTTTCTTCATTCAACGTATTCGCAAGTGTCTCTAGCACTCTAATCCTTGAGTGATACTTGTCTTCACGTATTTTGATGAGATTATTTTGCTAATTGAACATAAACAATAATAAGATAATGTCTTGATAGATAATAAATGTGAAAGCATCCTCTCTTACATTTCGTATATGCTCTGCTTGCGTCGAAATGCGCCGTTCAATCTCTTGCACAACCTTTTTTAGCAGGCATGCTACACGCTAGGGGAAAAAGTGCTAAAATATCAAAGTTTGAATATAAGATTATACTTATATAGGCTAGAAAAAGCTCTGATGAACAAACAGAAGAGAATATATATTAGACAGACATTTATGGAGACCACAAACTAACTTAACTCATACTTGTTACATACATAAGGTATTTCTCCATTCTGCCTTTCGATGTTTTCATCGAGAATCCCATTTATGACACTTAAAAGCGATTGAGTGGGGGCATTCTACAAAGAATGATTTAACAAATGCATGTAAGAAATACCGAAGCAAAAACTATGAAGATATAAAAAATTTAGCAAAAAACAAACCTCTATCATGGTAAACGAACTGAAGAGCTTACATCTAAATTGTTTGATTCCATCATTTCAGAAATCTTAGCGGCAGAAAGTTCATAGTAGTGTCCTTGTTTTAGCTGGAAAAGCTCGTGGAACTTATGTCCGCTATGATGAGAGCGAGGAGTTGATGGATCTAACACAAGCAAAAGCTAACTTAAGAAAATTAGCATAGAAAGCATGAAACTCTTGCAATCAGTTATGCAAGCAACAGTTTGTGAACATGAACTCAGAGGACCTTTTGATCCCCAAGAAAGTGATGAAAAAACACTTTTCTGTGTAATACATCAATTTAAGTATTACTTCCCAGATTGTACATTAGTTACATTAGTCAATAACATTAATAAAAGAGCAAAAAAGAACAAGAGGACTTAGACATTTATCTGTCCCAAAAACCTAAGCACACACATGAACATCGCAAAGAACATGAACAGTAAAACACAACATGTGAAACGAACTACCTACCAACACTACCATGTCTGCTTATGGGCTGTAACTATTTCCCATTATCATGAAGTGTCAAAAGCTTTTGTGTTAATTTTGTTTGTGTCTTAAGGTGCATGACATTTTGAACTGTTCAGTTTTCTGTCTGAGAATATCAAAATTTATTGATTGCTTGTTACCATCTGTTTTTACAACAAAAAAGAGGCTGAACCAACATTTTCTTTGATCCACTAGTACATAATGTAGGCAATGACTGCTATAGAGAGCTTCACAAGCATGACCATACCTGATAACACAGGATTAGTTTGCCGAACATGCTTCAATCGCAAATCCACAAAGCTGTTTATTCTGTTTTCTCCTGAGTTTACAGAGTGTTGCTCCATTTGACTGTTTTTCACACTCAAAACCTTCGGTGTCTTTGGCCTATTGAGTGCCAGAGGTTTTGACCTTTCTATTGGGTCACCAACGAACTTTCTTGGTGAGTCCTTATCTTCACCATAGTCCCAGCTGAGATGATCCCTCAGAGACCAAAGGCAATATACTACGGCAGTCACAGGTCCCTGATCACGTAACAACCTAAATCATTATCCAAACCGAAATTGTTTTAACTTATGCGTGGAATTACAAGCATCATCAAAACCAAATAAGAGTTCTCACAGTTGCATCCACATGTTTACCTGTTGGAGGTCTGTCACCCGAAAGCTGGGCAATCCCATCTTCTTGACAGCTGAAACAAACCTGCCTATGTTATCCAAGCGCTCCTCCTCGGTAACACAATGACCATCAACAATCTGCGATCGGAGTTCATATCATCACTGAAAAATCGAGTTCCTGTACCGAGAACCAACACCAAAACTGCAAATTGATCGCCAATGATTCAACCACCTCTGAAGAGGCAGGAATGATCCGCTTCAGGATGCGGCAAAAGACGGTACCGTCGACCAACCTAGCTCTCAGCTCCTCCGCCGAAGCTTCAACGCTCATGTTGAAGTCGGGGATCATATAGTTTAGCCACTCCACCACCTCCGATCGCCTCTTCGCTAAGCGTCACCAAAGAATTCACCATCAAAACAACTAACTGAGGCAAAAATGAGGATGCGTCCAGTGAAGAATGGACCGATCGGCTCACCCGTTTCTGCATCGATGTTAAGATTGGCCATGTCCAGGTCCGTGCATTCTTCTGCCTTGCTGCTCGCAGGGCTGTCGTCGGCGTGAGGAAGTTCGAGCAGGGCCCCCTGATTCATGGGGGCCTGGCGATCGGAGGTCAAACGCCGAGAAACCGAATCCAACAGAGGAGGCGGTGTGTTGGATTGAGCCGAAGAAGGCGGGGAGGGGAAGAGGGGGGAGGAGATCGGCAAGCGTGGGCAACAATAACTCTCCGCCTTGTTGAAGCCCGGGAAGATCTCCGAGCTTCAAGGCCGGCACGTACGTTTCCCCTCTGTTTTGTTCGGGTCGTTAGTTGTGGCTCCCTGGCAACTCCTCCCTGCAGCTCTATTAATAGTCTCCATTTGCTTTTCCTTTGATGTTTTAACATATCTACCCTCCCAATTGCGTCATTGCTCCAAACAAGTTTTATTATATGGCAGCAATACCTCCAAACAAAAAAAACGTTGTTATATTAAAATTATAAATTAAAATCAAAGACTTAAGACGCACTTAAATATTTTTACCATCACAATATTTAGCTCATAATAATATTAATTCCCATTAGGTCTTCAATATTTCTACTCTAACTAACTATTAACAATTGATTGCCGTAAGTTTCTAAATTTCATAGGTATATATTAAAATTAGATTAAGAAGCATTACAAGGAAATAATGCACTGGATATTAACCTTATAGGATAGTCAGATCGGTACTATTATAGATCATAATATTGAGTTATAAATCGTAGTATTGATTGATACTCAATTCGTGTAGATACTACATGGATTATTAAAGGAAAGAAGAAAGAGTTAATAAAAAGTTTAGTAATTAATATATTATTATATAAATGATAGGTGTCAAATTTGACTCCACGTGTGAATATCATTACTTAATATAAAAAAATTCTAATTAAGAAAAGCTATTGTTAATCTTGATTATCATATAATTTATAAATAATAAAGGTAATAAGGGTAGATTTATTATTAAACTAGGAGGAGGTGATATCTATTTTAAATGAGAAATCCAATTGATTCTCTATCACATAAGATTTTTCCAATTGCATTATAAAATCTTAATAATTAGATGCATTAGGAAATCTTAATAATTAGAGGAGGAAAATTCTCACTTCTAACATGTATAAATAGCTATTATATTTAACTAATTCAAGTATGCTTTGTTATTATATTTCACCTGGTATCAGAGCCATTGCTTTAAGCAAGATTTTTTTTCTTCCTTTTTCATTATCCAATGACAGCGTCGAACAACGCGGGGTGGACCTATAAGATCCTTTGTATCCATCTTCCACCGCCACAAGCCATTCGCCACTAGCCTATATGTTATTGCCTCTTTCCTTCCTCTCTCGATGCTCTTAATCACTTCTTTGGACAATCTCGTAATTGTAGAAAAAACTAAGGGTGACATCATATGCAAGAACAAAAAACAAAAATCTCAGATTTTCATAAAAAGGTTTCATCGTCGTGTAAAGATTGGTGTACAAAAACTCGTAAAACTGAAAACCATGCGTGAGATAGTTGTGTTACCTAGGGAGATCGTATATCCCTGAATTCCTACAGATCTATGGGAAAAGATGAAGGAGATCAATTGTCTCTCTCTCTAGCAGTGATCCACACGATAGGGGTTGCGAAGACATTCCTCGAATTGTTACCCAAATCTCCACATTTGTTGGTTGAAGAGGAGAATGGGAGAGGAGAATAAGAGGTGGCAGCCAAAAAGGCCTAGCCTATGGACTTTTGGTTCTCTCCTATTTGTAGAGGCTACCTATTAAGAGGGGGGGGGGTTTGAATTAGTGCAGCGGTAAAAATTACATCCGTTCAAAACTTTATTGTGATTAAATATGTTTTCGATGAAAAACCATTTCATAAAGGTAATAACTTTGAAAGTGCACGGAAGAGCGTAGTGGATGTAAAGCAAGTAAAGTGGTTTGTAGTTAAAGTAAATTGCTCAAGAGAAATGTAAACTCGATTTTTATAGCAGTTCGACCATCATGACCTACATCCACTCCGCCGATTCCTCTTCTATCGAGGCCACCGGTATCCACTATCGGTCTTCATTCAATAGGCGAAGACCAACCACCTTTTACACTCCTCTTTTCTTTTTCACAGGTTTAGGAGACAATATTTTATAACCCTTTTTACAAGGTATCTCTCTCGCACCTCCCTTAAAACTCTCTCTAAGCTTTGGGAGGAGGGAACTAAACTTTCTAAGGTCTACAACTTTAGAATCACAAAATTTTGCTCAATATTTCTTGCTTATCCATGCAAGAATAGCTGAGGTATTTATAGACACTAAATGGATTCAAATTTGGAGCCCAAAATTCAAACCCCCAAAATTTTAAGGTACGGGCGGTATCACCGCCTGCACTAGGCAGTACCACCACTCAGACTAGTGGTACCACCACCCAAACAGTCTCGGAGACTGAGTTTGGGTTATACCATTGCTCAGACTGGCGGTACCACCACCTAACATAGTCTCAGATATTGTGCCATGATGATTTCACCTATTTGGTCACTGTTTGGGCCTTTCTCTTGGCCCAACACAGCCCAAACTTAGCCCAACTGTCCCCTAATTGGGTTGGCCTAATTCTAATCCCTATTATGTGCTAACTATAAATTTTAAGATATTTATTAAGCTAAAAAAAGTATGTAAGTCTAGGTTTCTTCCGGTGAGCTTTCGGCGATCTTCCGGTGAACTTCCGATGATCTCTCAACAATATTCCAACGGACTCCTAGCAAGCTTCTGGACTTCATGATGATCTTCTTAGTAAGTTTTGATGAGCTTCTTTAGCAAGCTTTGGGACTTCTCGGTCAGTTCCGATAGAACTTTCGACGAACGTCCGGACTTCCGATGAACTCTTGAACTCCCAATAAAATCACATTCTTGACTCTAGGACTTCATTTTGCTTTATGTCTTGCTATCGTAGTTAATCCTGCACATGTAAAAATATACTTTGATCTAGACAATTATTACTAAGCATGAATCATATTGTCCGACATGTCATTGGTCCATCGACGCTTCGTTTGATTCTTCGACGCATCGTCCTCTCTTGCGGCCTATTGCCCAATCGACCAATTGACCTCTGCAACTCCGATATCCTTGGTGCAATTTTCGCTCTTCTTAGCCTAATACTAGAATCCATGGCCCAAAGCATTCTGTCAATACGTCATCCGATCCTCCGGCTAGACATCCAATCTTCTGACATGTTCCACCGGCCCAACATGATTCTTTCTGCTTTAATTATCTCATCCTGATCAAAGTATCATGCGGCACTCAAAACATAGATCAATTCATAAATACTTATCAATTAGTTTCATCATCAAAATCTGAGATTCAACAATCTCCTCCTTTTTTATGATGATAACTAATTGATGACGGAATTAACCTTAACTCCTCCTATCAATATGCCAAATTGATAGAACCTTGAATTCAAGCTGAATTCAAGTCATTATAAATTTCATCATGAATATTTGTAATACGTCATCATGCATAACATGATCATACTTCTCCCCCTTTGCATCAACAAAAGGAGAAGTTATAACTATCAAGTATTTGGACATAGAAGTTCAAATCATTGCAATATAATCATGATCTTCAGTTTTATCATCATGCAAGCTAGCAAATTTAGCATCACTTTACAATATGCATAATCACCAAATCATTAATTTTAAAGATGTGCAAGATTATAAATTATGCAAGTTTGCTTTTTTGTTTCTTAAGATAGGTAATCTATCAATTTTTTGGTGATGTTCAAGATAGCAAGCTCTTTCTTCTCTTTTGAGAAGTGACATTTTTGCTTCCTTTGCAAAGTGCAAGCTAGCAAAATTTTACATTATTTTACAACATGCAAGCTAGCAATTTGGCAAGTGTTACTTCTCTTTTAAGTATGAAGTCTAGCAAGTTTTTTGAAAAATAATGCAAGATAACAAGCTAGCAAGATACAATGTTTTACATGAAGCAAGCTAACAAGTTTTGCATCTTTTTGTGATATGTACATTTGTAATTTTTGCTTCTCTTTAGATGTGCTAGCAAGCAAGCAAGTTTTTCTCCTTACAATTTGTGAGCTAGCAAATTTTACACATATAAAAGTTGGCAAGATTTTTGCATCTTTTTTAGATGAGCAAGCTTTTGCTTCTTCTTGAAGTATGCAAGCTAGCAAAATTTCTCTCCCTTTGTCATTGTCCAAAAAGAAGGGAAGAAAATAATTTTGTAATTCTTTTTCCCTTTACAATAATTTTTAAATCTTGACAAAGGTAAATAAAAAAGATGAAAAATTAAGTCATGAATGTTAAAACAATTTTTTTATCGTGAATATTTCATCATTGCATGCATCAATATCATAAGTTGAAGTATTGCATGCATAATACCAAATCACTATTCATAATTACATCAATATTCTAGTAATTATTTCAATGTTTAAAAAATTAAGTCATGAATGTCAAAATCATAGTATTGCATACATTCATATCATCACATGAAGAATATCAAGAAGAACTTGGTGATGAGATATACTTTATGAATACAAGAAATTTTACATAATAAAATTGAAGTTATAAACCTTAAAAGATGTCAAGTAGCTTGGTTTATTAGAATAAGTTTTCTTTTTAGTGAATAGCAAAAAGAATAGTAGGAAAACAAGATCTCAATTCATGCATATCAATAGATATTATTCACTTTGACAAATCTCATTTTTAGTAAATACTAAAAAGAAATATGGGAGTTCAAAAACAAGATCTTGATTCATAGAAAAATTTCAAGTATCAATATCAAGAATTCAAGATCATGATATAGATGAAGACATTTTTATAGCAAAAAGATATCATGAGATAACACATAAACGATCTCGATTCATGTATAATATCTCTCAATTCATTATGAATCATAAAAATTATAATTCTAAAAAATCATGATTCATTTAGAAAATCTCCTCTTAAGAAAATACCAAGTAGAATCGTAAGAGAATGATTAAAAAAAATTTTGATTCATAATAAATCTTAATTTATAAATATCAAGGAATCGAGATCATGATTTGGATAAAAAAAAAATTATTCAAATTTAAATTATCAAATCATCAAAATCACTTTCATAGTTCAAGAGATTCAAAATAATATAAATATATATTTCAATCTCTTATTCAAAACTCGATAAGATAGAGATGTTTCATTTTAAGTTGTTAATTTCATACAAGTATGCCTTTGTCTTTTTATGCCAAATAAGAACATGCATCAATTGTTTAGGATCGAAAAATAAATTTCATCACAAAAACCATCAATATCAATAAACCATAAATTATCCAAA